AAGTGACATTAAATCAGCCTGAAAACCACTACACTGGAAACAAAAAATATTGACGTTAGTCAGATAATGTGAAGGTCGCCAACGCGCGTCCGGGTGGCCTGTTAAATACCCTTCGCGCAGGTAGGGAGGGATTTTGACATGCGATCTCAAGACATAAATAGGCTGGAGACACCAAATTCCTAAAGTGTGATAACCTGCATGCAAACTCACTTGTGTCAAGATCTTGGTATGTAGGTCGTGACCTTCAGGTCAAATTAGGCCAAACAACGTCAAACCCTAGATTGGATTCGAAAGTGCCCCCAGGCTTCTTATGCAATCGCCGTGAAGCTAGAGCCCCGTTCTAAGCAAAAGGTCATTGGTGCTCATTAAAGGTCATCGGCCTTATCTGACATTTGTGAGGTCATAGTCGCCAAATTATGCAAGTCTGCTTTGATTTTGCATATGAACAAACGTCAAAGGTTACGCTAGGCGGTATGTTCCTAAAAACAAAATGCATACCTTTGTCATTTTCCGTCAGTGGCCTATTCTGACCTTTCAGAATTAATGAGAGATACATGATGGGACCCCTGATGCTAACAAATTTAGAATGAACACCAGAAATTATCCCCATACAACAAGGTTTGGGAGAAAATATTAGGTTGGTTTTGACTTTGGTCTGACCTTTATACCTGACCCTAGGCCAAACACTTGCTGCATCAGATTGAACGATTCCCTAAAAGTTGTCTTCGCTGAATCCATGGCCTGACTTTGAACTGCTATAAGTCGGCGACCATACGAGGTACATGTAAGCTTGTGTTACCAAAAAATCCGCCATTTCGATTTCCACAGCTTTGTGACCCGTTTGAAAATCGTTCTGGAAAGTTTGGGGGTCAGATTGACCCCTCTTCCCACCCCAGCGCGTGATAAAAACAAGCGCACAAAAGGTTGGGTGTTGAAAAAAGCCATTGGACCTCTTAAAGTGCACTAATATTGTAGCCTATGCAAACGAAAAATGATTCAGGGAAAGGGCGCTGGGAAATGAGGAAGACTTTCGATTACCTAAACAGCCTTTTGGAGGTGGATTCTCTGGTATGAACCAACTCTACGACTGGAATGTTTTACCTTGAACCAGCGTTACTTACCGGACATCTGCAATGATGCAAGATGGAGAAACGTTACCTGAACTCTTTTGACCTGGCACGTCCGGTTACCTGCACGATAATACTAAAAATGAGCTAACTGTGGTCTAGCAAATAGGGGGCAAAATCGGCAAAGCGACTCCTTCCAACTGCCCCCTCGCGGAGAAGCGGCAAGGCCAGTGACCTGACGCGGCGAACCTGCCAACGCACTGGTTACACTGGACCACTCCCCTTCCTATGATCGAATGCAGCTATTGTATCGAGACAATTTAATGACAATCATCGACGGCACTAGTCAATATCACCCTGATCACACGCATCCGGGTGGCCGGCTAGATACCCTTCGCTCAGGTGGGAGATCAATTTGACACCCCCTGAGATCTCGGGAACTAAGAGAGCTAGATACACCAAATTAACAGGGTGTCTTGACCTGCACGTGGGCTCACTCAGGTTAAGGTTTGAGGTTCCTAGGTCATGACTTTTGGATCAAATAAGGTCCTACAAGGTTCGTGCCTCCAGAATCTAGCTAACTGTTCTAAACACAATGTCACATGCTCATTTAAGGTCAGTGACTTTGTTTCACCTTTTGAAGGTCATGATGATAAGAATCATACAAGACTGCCCTGAGTTTGACATTTGAATAAGAAACAAAGACTACGTTAGGCGGTATGTCTCTAAAAACAAAATGTTGACCAGGGTCATCTTAGGTCAATGACCTATTCTGATCTATAAGAAGTCAATGGAATATGTATAACGCGGTTCCTGCCATCCATAAATTCGAAATGAGCTCCAGAAACTATCTTATACAGCAAGCCTTAGAGCATTAAACCAGGTTGGTTTTGACCTCGGTACGACCTTAATACCTGACATAAGCTCAACTACATCTGCTCATTCAATATTTGTGTTGCCTAAGAAAGCATTTCAGAGATGTATGGCTTCGTGGAACACTCCGTTGTTGCATTAGAATGGACGATTCCCAAGAAATTGACTTCGCTGAAACCATAGCCTGGCTTCGATGTGCCATAAGTCAGCGACCTAACAAGGTACGTGATCTGCTATTCAATTGCCTACAGCTGTGCAAAATTTGGCACGGCTGCGCCGCGCCGCTCGGAAACCATTCTGGAAAAACCTTCGGGGGGGGGATCAATTTGACCCCCCACCCGAGCGTGTGATCATAGAAGTCGACCTTTGTACCATGTATGATGACGCAGGGTTATGATTCAGGGTGATGACTATGTATGATAGCGTCACAGGGCACGTAAGAGAATTCTAGGAAAATATCGGCGTTTTGCGACGTCATCGAACTCACCAACACCCGTAAATGTGTTTGTAGAGATCTCCATCCAGCCAAGTGAGGGAACGACAACTTAATGTTGGCGACGATCAGGAGTAAGCTCAAGTCATGTCAGATCAATCCAGGATTGGTTAAGAAACATTATGTCTTTTCCTTCTGAGTTATAGATCTATGATTTCTTATGGAGGCAAGTGCAACAGCTATTGGTGTAACACGATGTTTATTTTGCCGGGTTGATTTTTCACCGATGAGAGGTACAAATCACAAATTCCAGTTTTAAGTTGATCTGACTATTCATTGACCTTTATGCGATTTATTAAGTATTAAGTCAACAGGCAAGGCATATTTTTGACGCACCTCCAGTTAAGCGCCAAATATCCTGAATGTAAGATTGACGTCCTTCGGCACCAGATTTGTTAGTGCGATTCCCATAAGGTGGCAAACCCTTTTGCGTGATGTAAGAATGCATGAATTCGCTTCCCTGCAAGCGATAAAAGTGAAAGTTAGCGTTAAGCAGGGGATGCAAGAGAAACCCCTTATAGCTTTCAAAACGAAGGACGATATCGTTCTAGAATTAATTCACGCCTGGCCGGGGAAGATGACTTTCCCACCCCCCCCCCCCATTTATGGTTGTCGAAACATGGATAAAAAAACGAATAATTGCAGCAACAGCAAATTTTAGTGCTTGTTCATCTATCGATTGGGCATCCTTTGTGGAAAGCAAAAGCTTTGATCTACCAAGATCAGTGACCCTCTTTGACAAGATCATGTCAAAAAGGTTAAGTTCTAACCAATTTTGACCAAGCAAAAGTCTTTCGCAGTGTATTTGCCCCTGTAAAAACTGCCATGGTAATAGAGCATGATAATATTGATAGTTTGCACCCTTCATTTTTCAAAATGTGTGATCAGATACCTAAAGTCAAGTCAATTTGTGCGATAGCTTCCCAAAATACTGCACAATTTTTACTTATTTTTACGTTTTGGTGTTTGTTCATGCAAAAAGCGTACTAACTCGCATGTTCAACCAACCATCATGTGACCACGAAGCACATAACCTTGGCCTAGGTCAGACGCTATCTCTATGAATATCTTGTGCAAAAAAATCCGTGCTATGGCTCAAAATAGGCGGTTTTACAGATTAATTTTGGACGTAGAACTAGAATTCCTCCAATGAAAACATGTCGTGAGCATCATTTTCATGCATAAGGAGGTTACAATAGGCCATAATGAGGGCATGCAAGTTCATATGGGGGACGTGCAAGTTCATATCATGGTCATTTAAAGCCAGTGAACTATGTTGACAGTAGCGGAGAGGGTAAATGAACGAATACGACTCTTGTAACCACTTCCTTATCGTGTTTGTGAAACTGATGACGTCTAGTTTCATGCACCAACGTCCCTATTTTCATTTTGTTACAAATACATTGTCAAACATCGAGGGGACTACGTATAATGAAGACAACAGCTATTGCGATATTGAGTACCCGTATATGTACAATGCACTTTTTGTGACCACAGAAAAGCTTGGTACTGGTCACATATCCCCGTAAGCACTTCGTTTCTTAATTAAATGGTTTATAAATTTGGCTTAGATTGATCTCACCTGACCTCTAGGTCACGTTAAATCGGTGTCTTTGAGTCTGAAATACTTTTATCCCACAGCTGCATCTAGTGAAATTAACTTGATCAGAGGCGCATTGTGAAGAAAAGTATCGTTATTGCAAGCTACGGGTACATCATTTTTGAACGGTGACCTGATCTGACGTAATTTATGTGGGAGACAGAAATGGGAGGGACGGATTCCCCACAGTCTTAATACCGACTTCCGTGCCGTTAATATCCCTCTTGAGGTGCTGTTAAGGTTTTAACTGCATCTATCGGAACGACCCGCTCTTAGAATTTCGTGGCCTCTCGTGGCCTCACATTTGACCTAAGGTCAAAAATGTGATGTGCATCTTCCATGAGCACATAAGACCTTCAAAAACAATAACCTTTGTTTTTTCATACGGCGTCTAGAAGTTAGAGATTCCCAGGGTGACAGGTCAGCTCCCCCCCGCCCCCCCCCCCGGGCCGCAGCTGTCTCAGACCCCCGGCCGGGTGCGGGTTGACGACTCATGAACCGAAGCTCTGCAAAATTGGAAATCAACGGCGTAGCTCCGCTTAATCTGGGCCCGATATCTTGAAAGCCCTTGCTATTGCATGGCGTCGACTCGCTCTTGTCGTTCTAATTTCGGCAGTGTCCACATATATTCACACTAAACAAACAGTTCATGTATGTAAGGCGGATTACAGGCTCACAGTAACATATGCATTGCATTGAGGTGCTACGTGTGCAAACCTAACAAAGAGTCATCTCTTAAAAAGCTGACCGGGCATGGACACCTTCGGTGACCTGCTGTGGCCTGGGCCGCTGGCCGCTGGCCGCTGAGCGCCGCTCGCCACCGGCTGTTGGACATACCTGGCCAGCACCGTCCAGGTGGACGCGGCGGGCTCGGCGGGGTCGGCCGAGCACTGACCGCGGAAGCCGCGCACCACCGCCTGCTGGCGCGTCGGACAGCCGACGTCGAACACCTCCTGACTCGGCGGCGCGATGCTCTGATATCGGCGTGTGCAGGTAGTCACGGACACCGGACTCGACGCGGGACCGGTACCGCAGGTGAAGCACCTGCCGCCCAGGCGCGGCCGTTGTACAAACAGTCACGGCAACAACACGACAGGAAGCCGTCCACATGTGGCGTCAGCGACCGCCGGGGACAAGCAAGACCAGGTGTTTGGGGAAGGGGCCTTCACCGGCTGAGTAAACTGATGTTTCGCTTATTCAACGGGTAGCAATTAATGTAGGGTAGGAAACTGGGGAAATTGAGGGTAAGGGTGCAGCTGAACGTTTAAAGAAATATCGTGCGATATTTTTTATTGTGCTTCTCTTGGTCGCAATGACCATATTTCACACAATTCATTAAATTATGGGAGTAACACGGGTGCGGGTAAGAGCAACGTGTTCTTCTCACCTACAAACTGAATGGAAAACTTGTAGCATAGGAGGCAGGTGGGCAACAACAGTCAGGAATGAGAAGAGGGTGGGGTATGGTGAGGACCCGGCCCGCAACGGGTAGGCTGGGTTATGATGATCCCGGCTGTAAATTATCAGGAGCTAAGCACGTATTAAATGATGGGCGTGATTGTGACTGGGTGCCATTCCTCTTACACTGATATGCTATTACCATTTTGTTGCAGGAAAACATCAAAGTTTGTTTTTACTATGAAAACTATATTTGGGAACGTCTACCTGCACCTCCAATGTGGTCGATATGAAAACTGAGGATTTGGGTTAAATAACTCAGAATTAAGACATTTCACAACTAAAGTGCAGGACTAGTTTTTCAACGAACAAAAAAAAAACGGAACGACGGGTCAAATGCTGCATTGTGGTTACATCCACAGTGTAAGGTGGCGACGCTTTGGTAATCTTTGGTCATAATTACGCTCCATCTTTCGTTTTGTTTCAAACAGCTTGTCTCATTTAGAGGCACATTCAGTGCCAGAATAGTTGCTTGAAAATCCAGAGTTATAAATCGTTCTACAAAAATTAAAACACCCCTAGCTCAAAACATCTAGGACGTAGATGTTTGGCACGGGAATGTTGCACTTCTTCAAGGCAAGTCCAACTGATACACTGCATTAAGCTGCGTACATGACACTGAAGGAAACGCAATCACCTGATCCCAGTATTTGTGCGCGGGCATATCTGGGTACATCGATGCCAGTTTCTGCTCCCTCGTGCAGGTTACCGATGCTTTCACCATCTGGAAGACGATCAGGTTACGTCGGGTCCCGGACTTATTTTGTAGCTTCAATTTTCTAACTTTGGTTAAAACTGAATAAAAAACCTTCCTGTTCTTGATGAACTTCGGCTAAGATCAAATAGAAAACCTTTTTCCTTGAGAACGTTTGCATCTCAATTACACTGACATCTCTCAACGAGTATTGTATAGAAATAGTGGCGGAGCAAGAGATGGAATCATTGCTGATATGACGCCTCAGGTCCCTACCTTTCATGCATGAACCGGACAAAAAAACGAACTCAGAGTCCGACTCTTGTCTTTCCTTGGCACTTGACATGAGTCCAAGTCCGAATCCATCGGCCATTGCGATGGATTCGGTGTTGCCGAATCCATCGGATTCGGTCTTTTCGGATTCGGATTCGGATTCGATCATTGGCGGTCAATTGCCGTGCGAGTCATTTGGACATTATTTCTCATTGTATCTAGCCTAAACTGTCATTCACAGCCTCGCGTTTTCCGATAAATGGATTATTTATTCCTGGTTAAAAATTGAATGAAATCCACTCCATTCAGAGTGCCAGGTGTCTAAGTATAAGTCCGATGAACCTGATTCGCATGAAACGCATGAATCTGATTCACATACACTATTAAATCGTAGGCCGAGCTCGAGTCCTTGAGCTAGAGCCCGGTTTTGCGAACCGACGGTTTTGAATCCGAGCGAAATTCATCTCGTAAATGAACCGACTCACTTAAGCACGAACCCCTCAGTCAGAGTGGTCCGAATCAGAGCCACACTGCCTCTAGTGAAGCATGACGGGTATTTATAATGATTGCGCTATCACTACGGTTGCCGAGCATTATGCGTGCTGGCACAATTTACGTAGCTTAAACCAGACACCACAGCGATACACAGCGGCATAGTTGCGATCTACAACTGCACCGAGTGCTAAAATATTTCACTCATCTCTAGTTCATTTACGCCTCACTGGCATTACGACACGATAAATACGTAAACATTTTCGACCCTGGTAGCCTCCCGAGATGTTCCTAAGTTGAAATACGCATATGGAGTAAAGGGAAAGCTGGCATATATGTGCACAATCTTTGTCTATAGCCATACACCTGCTGTAACGCACTAACTGTACAAGCAGCCGTGCACGTCGCTGGGGATGGCCGACGTTCTGCCGTCACCTTTCGAACACCTGGCGCAGGGTCGTGCATGCAGAACTCATTGCCGAACCGGAACACACGCACGCTTGATGGAAGAGACATCGTTGGAGGGTCGGGCAGAACTGGTCATCCTCGTCTGTGGGCATACAGTGTCAGGCTTCGTGGCTTCGTCACTGATGAGTTTTGGCGGCCGCTGCCCAGTCTGGCGAGGTGCGCTTGCCGTAAGCGTGTCGTCAGGACAGAACTCACGGAAGTTTTTGTTTTATCGTTCAAATGGGCTCACAGTTCGGCACCGAAATCGGTCAGAGCCCCACGCTGTCAGTTGTTTAAAACATTCATATCCACCTTCCCCCCTCCCCCCCCCCCCCCACACACACTACCACACATTGTTCTGCTTGAGTACACTCCCGAGAGATGAACAGAGAGCTAAACGGGGGCCAGGTCGGCCAGACCACCCCACGTGCGTCTTAGAGATGGTTGGCGTCACACCGCTGCCGCCACACGTCATAAGGCATTCAAGTTTAAAGTTATATTATATTATTATATTACCACAAGTTATAAGGTATTTTTCACCCTTGCTCTCAGCAGACATGCGCATGACATCGCGCGGAATGAAAGCCGGCGTCTCGCTGGAGTCGGAGACGACTCCGAAATCGAAATGGTTTGGCCGGGCACAGTGGAGGACATTCCTTTGTGAATTGCATTTGCGACCGAGAAGGCCTTGACTCGGGTGTATTTTGCGGAGTCAGCGTTGAGTCGACTGACTGAAAATGTAAATGACAACAATATAATTGTGCGTTGGTGGCAAACAAATAAATTTCACTGTATGCATGAAGTTGCATGCCCATGGGACGTATCGGCAGTCGACTACAAATTGCGTTCGGCCCCTCCAAGTCAGTCAGGATCATTTCAATGGGCGCAGACATGGGGTATGAATCGATTTCGCCCGAGCTGCATAAAGCAAATAACTTGTTCTCAGCAACCTCTTTCTTGTCATCCCAGCTTAAATGCAGTTCCCTGTTCAGTTTGGAGGAGGGCCTCAGTGCCCCAACTTTAACATAAAAGTTGGCCGAATCCGGGAGGTAATCCGTTTTAGCGAATTGTGGCGGGCATAAGTTTTCAATGGTTCGGGTCAGGTGTGGAACTTTGTATCTCTTGGGGAGCCATACCCCCTCCCCTCCCGCCCCCCAATGTTGAGCTGGGCCCCCAAAGTCGGACTGCTCCTGCCCCTTGGGCTGGGAGATTGGGCCACCGCCATATTTTGCTCAGCCTTCGATACCCTATCAGTTCTTTGAAGTAACGATAATGAAAGATTTTGTAGGGATCACAATTTGGTATTGAAGACAGACTCATATAACACAATTTTCCATAGCTTGTTAAAACGAAACCCATCAAAAGTTCCATTTTGTAAGTCCCTAACCTCAAAGTGGATGTTTGTGCGTTATCAGGGCTTTACGACGCTTCTGAGACGATATGGCGACGCCTGCCTCTTACTCCGGCAGAAAGGGCGACGCCGCGGGAATCAAACTACACAGTGAATGGTGAAATGCAAAAAACAACCAGTTGCACATATTGGTCTAACTGGTAATGTCACCTCGCTTGACATGCCGCGACGCGAATATTGAAATATTGGTGGCGGTAGCAGAGAGCGGCAAAACTATAGAATTCGTAGACTTTTGACACGATATTCTTTCTTGAAGTAAAACATGCGGTCAGTTTCCTGAAATGTAAGTATCATGCTTTGTGTCGTTAATGCGAAAATATCCAAATCGTGTACCGCATGTTTTGAGCGCACTGAGAGTACGTGAATTTCCTACATTCTTATTGAGGAATGTGACAGGAGCGGCGCGTAAAAATATGAGTTCTAGGCATCAAAAACATTAATATTGAATGTAATGCGCACCCGGCACGTAAAATTGTAGTATATTCTAACTGTAGAATAGTTGTAGCATCGAATAGTAATAGCATGCAAAAGAAGCGGGTTTTGTAATGAGTAATATACACAATACCCAATATGCAATACGTGCGTGTTTCGTACACAACAAATGCCTGCGCATTTTCATATTGTTTTAGCATGTTCAGCACCACGGACTCATAACCTATGGGCGTAGTATGGGTGGCTCGCGATGCTGCAACTGCCAATTCCGTGCTGAGAATCCACCTCAAAATCGTATAAACGAATCGTCCCGGTCAGGAGCTGTAGGGCCCTTTCGTCCAAGCCCAGGGTAACTGGCAACTGCTATTCTGGCAGTACGGGGACCGGGGTACCCTGGTCAATTCGGAGCCCCTAAGAGGAATACATTCTGCGCCGGTCCCATCTCTGATGAGGCAGATTCTCTGACCTGGACATCTGACACAGGACCGACACAGTGACACGTCACTGCCGAGACGCCACTGTGGCTTATCGACCCACCCATGCCTCCTGGTCGAAACGGTGTGGGGGGCCCCGCGTTTCGGTACCGCGACCCTTGACTGGCACAGGTCACCGTCTAATCGTGAGTTAAATCGTTGCACCATCATCTCTCATGCCTCCCGGCATTGTCAATAGTGTCCTGGTCAGCGCGAGAGAGGCCTTTGACATTCGAGATCCCGCTCTTGTCGCTGTTCAGCAAATGTGCCCATGGCCGGCTTCGGGCTTACTGGCGACAAGGGGCCCCTTTTGTGAGCCCCTGATCAGCAAAGGGGCCGGATCAATGCACGATCCTGCGGATTAATATTTGTAGACCAGCCCTGGCCCTATTTGGGAAAGAGGCCCCAAGGGCCAAAGACCGGCGCGAAACGGAGTGCTTGGTACTGCCTACTGACTGAGGTCCCTTCACCCCCCCCCCCCCAGCCTGCCCTTCGGGCCCCTTCGCCAAGTGTTCCCAAAAATATGTCCTTTAAAAACAGGAATGCTACCGACAAGCTTTTGGTGTCAAAATACACGCCATAGATTGCATCAAAGGGTGCCGAAATTTTGGGTGTGATTGCACAATACGCCGGAGAGATGTCCTTCCCCTCCCCTCCTACCGGAGCGAGAATTAAACTTGATATTCTCGATGGTGATTGACACTCCACTCCATGTTATGTTACATGATAGATTAGTAAATCCTCAGCAAGGTTCATGGACGTGATGCTGCGGTGAATTGACCCCACGATAGCATCGTAGGTGAGTGACACATCTATCCAGGTCTTGGAACGGCTGTCCGTAAGAACTTTTGTTTAGTGCGGAGGCCTTATCCATACATAAATAGTGTAAGTGGTCGTAGCTCCAATTGAAGGTTTCTGGGGGTAATTAATCAGCCTATGTTATAGGATAACATATTTTCAAGTCAAGTCGAATAATCAAATTCCATTTGTCCACATATTTAAATTCCATATATCCACTGCTGAGAGACAGTGTGAACCTCAGTGGGCCTGGTACTTAGTTGCCGGTTAGCGCGCTCTGGCGGTGGCCAGATCAACAGCGTTGCAACTCGATGCCACCCACACCCTGGTCGGGTAGTCGGGATCGGTGGCCTGGGCGTGGTTGGCATCAAGACACCCGTGGTGGTGGCTGACTGCCCTGCACTGTCACTGCCCAGCCAGGCAATCAGCAGTTTCGTTCCGATTATTCAAACTGGGATCACCCAGTCTCCAGTGCAGAGTCAGGCTTTGAAGTGATTAGAAATGCGTTTCACCAGCCTCTGTAATTTAGCACAATGGAATAAGGATTTGGCCGTTAGAACGCGTTTCGGGCAACAGCTGACGTGATTTTGGATCCGCGATAAGTCGGGTCTCGTGGATACGCTTGAGGTGCGAGGCCGACAGATTGTGCATAACGTCCAGCGCCTCAAGATAGCGATCAGCTTGGTATCCCCCCCTCTCCCCCCCCCCCCCCCCCCCCCAGAGACTCGGAACATACTCTTCTTGTATGCCGTCCAATCGCGTGCAAAGTTTTTGTTTCCTTCGTGGATTTATTGCGCGTGTTTTGACATCAAAAGCGTGCCCCTAGCAATTTTGCTTTCTGAGAAGCTACTGGGCTTTCAATAACACTGCACGGCGATCCACGGCTAGCACGGACGAAGGGCGGGATCTAACGATGCACACAGCACTCTCCGCATTATCGAATGCCCACGTCTAAGTGTGTGTAGAAACAAGCCGTTTTAAATGTTGTGTCACTGCGGGGTATGACCTTGTAATTAAGGGCGTGTGAAGCTAAAAAAGTCGACTTTCAGGAAAGCTTGACCTTAACTTGGCATAGCAGAGCCTATTATTGACCACGCCATATGCAACTTATTGTTAGTCATAAGGTGTTGTTCAACCCCAATCGTCTGTTTCATTCTGAGAGACCCTATCTGTCTTAGTTTGGAAACGGTAGCGGATGGCATTAACCTCCACTTTCCCCCTATCAGTCCTCGTCATGAAAAACGGCTAATCAGGGCTAGGATTAAGCGCTGTGTAGCTCGGTATCAGTGCTTCCCAACCTCCCGCGTCGGACAAGCGGCTTCTCCTGTGTCAGACCACGCGGCCGCGCCACTGCCGAACGTGAGCCCGACCTAGTACCGAACACGAACCCACTCCAGTGCTGGACACGTGATCTCTCCTGTGCCAGACATGCGGCCTCTCCTGTGTCAGATATACTGGCTCTCCTGCGTCGGAAACACAGCCATCCTGGTGCTGGACGGCTGCTGCTGTACCGAAATGCGGCCTCTCACGTGTCGGCACGCGGCCAGTCCAGCGACGAACACGCGGCCTTTCCTGTGCCCTACGTCCGCTTCTGTCCCCGACACGAGGCCCCTTCTGTGTCAGACGCCCGGGCGCTCCTGTGGCGGACGTTCGACAGCCCCAGTGACCTAGACGGCGACACTCCAGTAAGCGGCTCAACGCCGCTACAATGGGGTAGACTAGACCCGCACGCTCTGTTAAGATTCAGAACATTAAAATGACACAGTGCGAGTCAATGCAACAAATATGTTCGCGCCTTCCTCTGTTCTCACGAGTTCATGATGTGTGGCCATTAAGTCCTAGGTCCAAAGGTGAAACACATGATGCGTTTTACGTGAATATGCCAATGAAACGTTGGCGGAGAAATGCTATGGGCTGTTGTGATACGCACG